ACCAGCCATGTTCAAGGACGCAAGTGCAACACCTCTGACAGCAGTGCATTTTCTCCTAAGAAGACACAGGCGAGTACTATGTACGTAATACAATTTATTTTGGGTTTGTACGCATTGTTACTTAGAAATAAAAGTGAACAAGTGCCTAGTTTAAATTTATTAACATAAATTGCAAGGTTATAGCCCGGTCATGCTGACTGGTGAAATTTCTGACTGACTGGTGAGAAATTCTAAAATTTTCCAAGCCTTGCCCATATGAAAGCAGCAACCATATCCCAATCACAGTACCACCCTTTGGATGTCCTGCCCTCAATGCAAATTTTCAGTGATGGGTGTAATGTGAACTGCACTGGGCATCTCCTTCCATTGCAAGCCTATCCTCCTTTCTCATTCTTCCTTTATCTCTTTTCTATTCATTTCTACTTCCTTTTGCAGCTGGACCTCCTGCCCTCTCCTGAATGCCTGTCCCCCGGAATAGTGGATCTCTTTCCTTGCACCAGGAAAATGGACATGACTGATTATTAATGATCTTAAATGTATTATCAGGTATTTGCCTGCCCTTTGTTTATTTGTGTCCTCTTTTTTTCCTCCCTACCACTACTCCTCAACTTGATTAGCAGTTTGTCCTCCTTCCACAGGGGTGGGAGAACAATGAAGTTAAACAGGATCAAGATGTAGGTTGTTGCTAAGTTGGCATGACAGTTGAGTGAGAAGTGGTTAACTGATGAAACAAGGAGTCAGCTTCTGGGATTTTCCCTTGCTTGGTGTCTCTTTGTGAATGGCAGTGAGCACAAGAGGGTATCCTGCAGACCATCTTGACTCCTGCCATTGGTGTCAATATTCAGGCTGCCCTTTGCTAGGTAAAGTTTGGCATCCTTTGTCCTGCTGGCAATGCAAGCTTGATATCAACAACAATATTGGGCCATTTCCTGGCATTTTTATTCATGGATGCAGAAGCATAATATCCCACATTCATAAACTGGAGGCTTTATCAAGAACTGAATTTCCTAGCCTTTTAAAACAAATGTATAAGTATAGAGACACTACACACAAATTCCAACAGCAACTTCCCTTATGTAGACTTGCCCAGTGCTAGAGGATCCCAGCAGATGGGAACATGATCTATAATAATAGTTGCTGGAAAAGGGCAGAACTAAGAACACCTGGGATGTTGGTGCACTTCCCCTGTGCCAAAATATTTTGAATGACTGTTTTGGACTTAATGAAGCTGTGAAGCAAAAGTGTGAGTGAGTGCAACACATTCATCAGAGAAATATACCTTTAACCTCTCAGGTGAATTAAAGTTGCCATGCCCACTCCACAGAATGAAGACTAGAAAACTATCTTCCAGTTTCTGAAACCTTGCTCTACAAACATCTTGCTTGCATGTTTTCCAAAAGACGCTCCCTCATCATTTGAAACAAAAAAAAAGGCGAGGGCTGAGTTAGCAGGGTCAAAAATCATCCATACTATGTAAAAGACAGACAATGAAAAAAAGAAGGGGGGGGGTCAACTTATTTGAAATGTTGTGTTGGAGGTAGCTAAAAAAGCAGCTAAAAAGGCAAATAAATGGGAGCTCAGTCAAATCAAGTCTGAACTCCCACCAGAGCAAAAATAAAGTTGAGGTTATCCTACTTTGCGCATAAAATGAGAATATAGAATTGACCAGGAAAGACAATATTGCTGGAAAGGTGGTGTGGGGGCAGTAGGCAAAAAGACCTACCATGAGATGGATTGATTCCTGTTTGGCCAGGGAGGAATTAAAAACAAAGGAATCCACAGCTGTTGGTTTTCCAGATATGAGTGGCATTTACTGGGAAACACAATATTGCTAAGAAGTGGGGGCAGTAGGAAGAGAGAACAACCTATCATGAAATGCTGTTGATTTGCAAGACCTGAGCAGAGCTGTTAACAACAGGACATTTGGGAGGCCATTAACTCTTATAGTCAACATATATCAGAAGCGACTTGATGGCACATAACATCTTTGGAAGTTTTTAAAAATTACAGTATTTTAAAATTATCAAGCAATTCTATAGTGACAAGATGGGTGGAACAACATCTGGGAGGTAATACTTTGCCCACCTGTGGTCTACATTTGATTGGCAGTGTCTCTCCAGGGTTTCAAAGTAGGATCTTTCCCATCTCTGCCTGGAGATGCCCAGAACTGAAATTTGGATCTTCTCATACCAAGTATATGCTCTGCCATTGGTTTATGGTTGCCCCCCTTTCCCATCCATGCTATCACACAGACACATTTCTTTCCATTCTTCTAATGCTAATTAGAGAAACACCACAATCAATACTGGATCTTTCATAGCAACATACTGAAATATATTTGTCCATATATCAGGCAAAAACAAAACAAACAAAAAAACAGGAATGTTGTGGCACCTTAAAGACTAATTGCTATATTTTAATGTGAGCTTTCATGGAGAAGTCCACTTTATGAAGTCCATGAAAGCTCACACTGAAATGCAACAGTAAGTCTTTAAGTTCCACAACTTGTTTGTCATCTTTCTTTTTTATTTTGTTTTTGTTTTTGCCTGATATACTAGCATGGATTAACACGATTACCTCTTCTAAAACTGCTTCTGTGTCTGTCAATAAATTCCTACTCTTCAATTGTCCTAATAAGTAGAAAGAAGCAATCTCAGATTTCAGACATAGCAGTGAAGACTAGGAATGACTGGCCTATGTTAGCATCATAGGATTTTTCAGAGCCAAATGCATGAACTCAAACTTGCTGGTTAATAGCCAATGTCTACAGCTTATAATGACGTGACAACAAGTCATTATAAGCTATAAACATTATACAGTGGTGCCTCGCTAGACACCCCGCATGACAGTTTTTTCGCTAGACATTGACTTTTTGTGATCACTATAGCGATTCGCAAGACAGTGATTCCTATGGGGGAATTTTGCTGGACAATGTTTGGTCCCTGCTTCGCAAACCGATTTTCACTAGATAACGATTTTGACAGCTCCCTCCGCGCTCACAAAACCGGTGTTTTCAGGACCTAAGCTTTGCAAAAACAGCAATTTAGACAGCTGATCGGCGGTTCGCAAAGCAGACGATTCTTCCCCACTGGAACGCATTAAACAGGTTTCAATGCATTCCAATGGGAAATGCTTTTCGCTAGACAATGATTTCGCTAAATAGCTATTTTAGTGGAACAGATTATCATCGTCTAGCGAGGCACCACTGTAAACTACTGGGTTATAGCAGGGTCTGCTTTCCGTTAATAGAGGAGTTATGCTCATAGGAAATGCCTTTACTCTATTCTGTAGGCCGGCAAAGTTTCCCTCTTTTTCACACACCTTAAGTAACCCCATTCACCAGGACCCCAAATCTCTCTATGTAGCATTTTCAGGGGGTTGAAGGTCTACTGTGAGGATGAAAGAGAAATCAACTTTGTTTGTGATAACCCAAGCTGTATGCAATCCAAATTCAATGCATGGTATATGACAGATTTGTCCCATCCCCTATGGATCTGATACATCATGTTATTATTAAGGCTATGTTGGCAGAAACAACTTTGGGGACATGCAGCAATGCAATTATTTTTTAATCAAGGAGGTTATTTCAAGGCAATACAAAATATGGAAATCAATAATGCTACTATACACTATCTATTATCTGAAAAACAACACAACAGTCACCTTATGTGACCTGTTCATCTTTTGTCATACTGTTGTATACATTTTCTACTTATTTTATGATTTCTACATCATTAATTTTTTACCTGCTTTTCTGTACAGCATGCTGAAAGCAATCTACAAATTTAACAATATAATTCAAAACATAACAAAACTATTTTTTAAAAAAACTATTAGATTAAAGCATTTTAAAATGCATTTGGGGAGAAAAGCGTATTTTCTACAGAGCAATCCATCAACAACCAGAGCACACATATCAGTTAAAAACAAAAGAGACAGACAGACAGACAGACAGACAGACAGACAGACAGACAGACAGACAGACAGACAGACAGACAGACAGACAGACAGACAGACAGACAGACAGACAGACAGACAGACAGACAGACAGACAGACAGACAGACAGACAGACAGACAGACAGACAGACAGACAGACAGACAGACAGACAGACAGACAGACAGACAGAATAAAGATTAAAAAACCATTGTGGCACTGCTACATCAAAATATAGCAATTAGTATTTAAGGTGCCACAACATTTTTGTCTTCTTAATTTTTTATTTTTCTTTTGTTTTGGCCTTACTGTATATGTTAGCACAGACTAACATGATTACCTGTTCTAGAGGCACACCAAAGCAAAAAAGTCAAGTGCCCTGCAAAAGACAAGCAACATCAAAGGCAGGCCAATTTCTCCTGTGAAGGCATTCCATAGACTAAATCATATAACTACACAAGAAACCTTTCCCTGATATCTATTTGCCCTATATTTCACAGTTATGTGGCACAGAACACTGGTTCTTAACCTTGGGTTACTCAGGAGTTTTGGACTGCAACTCCCAGAAGCCTTCACCACAAGCTGTGCTGACTGGGGTTTCTGGGAGTTGCAGTTCAAAAGCATCTGAGTAACAAAGGTTAAGAACCACTGGCATAGAACAGAGTTCTCTCCATTCCTGTTCTTAATGATCTGGCAGGTGCAAAAACAACAGAGGCAGTTCTTAAAATACCCCAATCCTGGAAAATGCACTGTTCTAAAAATTAAAAACAATTTAGGGCTACCTCTGACATTTAGTCCCACCACTAAGTCCTTTGTATGACAGAAAGGAGAACTAGGCTTTGCACCTTCAAAACCACAAAACCAACATCAGGTTGTTTACACGCGGGCCGACTTCTCAGGCAAGACATGGTATTCATCACGGGGAAAAAAAATGTTACCTCGGGACCAGCCACTCTATTTACAAATAAGAATGCATTTCAAACGCCAGCTATCAGTGAATTTAGCCAAGAAAGGACCAAAACACACTGGCAGAGAGCATGGCTGCTATTTGGCCAATGTACTTACGGGTAAAATGATTTGAAGTAGATGGGTTGACACTATCACCACTGTCAGCGCTTTCACTGCTGGAGACCTCGTCCTCTGATTCCCGCACAGAAGAGCAGGGCGAGGAGCCATCAACTTCGTCAAATTTCCTCTTTAAAATCCCACTCATAGCTGCAGCGCTGTCACATGTACCTGCAACAGAAACAGGGGCAGTGAAGCACGGAACCATTTGTCTGCAGACAGTCTTAACCAAGGTCTTTAGGAGCCATTCTGGGTTGAGTTTTCATGCTACAGAAGCCTCCTTTTATCAAGATTAACGTCCAGAGAAAAACAGAAAAGCAGCTTTAATATCTGGCTCCAAAGAACCACCTACAGGATACCTCTTGGCCCCCACAGCTATTCAGAAAACTTAAGGAATCTGAAGAAAAATCCAGATGTTGAAGGATTAACTGGAAAAGATATAACTTTAGCAAAAGGATGAGAAATCTTCTGATCTCCTTAAAAACATGATAAAACCATCAAAATGAACACAGTTGTTGAATGCTCCTAAAATTCAGCCACAAAAGAAATGGATCCATGAGACATGGTGGGGAGAGTTATATTGCATCCCCTGTTGCCTCACTGCTTTATAGATTTCAATAAATCTTATATGGCAGGATGAGGAAGAGTGCTGAAGTGGGCGGGGGATGGAGGTTGCAACTACAGAGGTGAGTGGGAGGGGTACACTTTCTCAAGGTCTACATGTCTAGGAAAACTCAGCCCACTCCATTACTGTAAGGACAAAATCGTGGCTGACTTATAGAAGATGTGTCAGGTCATTTATGAAAACTCTGGTCTCCCTGTCTATCTCTACCTTCCCTGCTTCCCCGAAAATAAGACCTAACCTGAAAATAAGCCCTAGTAGAATTTTTCAGGATGCTCCTAATATAAGCCCTACCCCAAAAATAAGCCCCAGTTAAGTGAAACCCTGCCCTCCACTATTGTGCAGCAACCAGAAGATGACATGACTGTGTTTGAATAAATGTAGATTGTAGTACATGGAAAAAATAAAACATCCCCTGAAAATAAGCCCTAATGCATTTTTGGAGCAAAAAAAAATATAAGACCCTGTTTTATGTTTGGGGAAACATGGTAGTTCTCAATTTTATTAGATCTGCTTGAGAGATTCACAAGGAAATGGCGAAGTACTGGATAGCTCAGGACATGACTGTGTTTGAATAAATGTAGATTGTAGTACATGGAAAAAATAAAACATCCCCTGAAAATAAGCCCTAATGCATTTTTGGAGCAAAAAAAAATATAAGACCCTGTTTTATGTTTGGGGAAACATGGTAGTTCTCAATTTTATTAGATCTGCTTGAGAGATTCACAAGGAAATGGCGAAGTACTGGATAGCTCAGTGTTTAAGTTCTCCGGCTGTGGAGCCAGAGGTTGAGAGTTCAATTCCCCAATTGTGCCCGTCATCCTAATGCATTTTTGGAGCAAAAAAAAAAAGACCCTGTTTTATGTTTGTGGAAACATGGTAGTTCTCAGTTTTATTAGATCTGCTTGAGAGATTCACAAGGAAATGGCGAAGTACTGGATAGCTCAGTGTTTAAGGTCTCCGGCTGTGGAGCCAGAGGTTGAGAGTTCAATTCCCCAATTGTGCCCGTCATGACAGAGGCTGGACTCAAGGATCCACAGGGTTCCTTCCAGCTGTGCAGTTTGAAGAGTCTAGTCTGAAAGATGGTGACCCAGGTCCTTCTCCAGAACAGAAATGAAGTGCTGGTGCAATTAAACTAGGATTTGTAGTTCAAGCTTCCTCAAATACTACAGCCCCCAAATTCCTTGTACCCAGACAAGGGTAATCTGTTAGTAGAATGGACCAAGCACCATAATGAACACGGCGAGGCACTGATCTCAAAGGCAGTGAAGCTAGTTCTTGTAATGAACAGCCCTACAATGTTTATTTATTTAAATTATTTTATCCCACTTTTCTCCTTAAAAAGAACCCAATTCAGCAACGTATGTGAGTCCATTTGTATTTAGCATATTAAAAGATACTCCATAGGCATTTGTGGCAAGAAATAAAAATTAGCCATCAAAAGCATTCATTTCCTCCCACCCCCCCAAAAAAACAGATAATCTCTTTATTCAGCTTAGACAGTAAGCTGAGACAGTACACTAGCTCTGATTAACCAAATATTACAAAACTCTGAGCAAACTTTGTAGGAACCTTCTTCATGCTAGAGGTTACATTAAACCAAAGAAGCAAGGGAACCACAGTAGAAAAGATACCACTGGTGTCACTGATAATTTCAGGAACACTGAAGGGTAGTTTCAGAATTAAACAATAAACTTTTCCTTTATATGGTTCCCACTACCTGTGCCGGCCAGGATTTTTTGGCAGTTTTAGTTCAAGAACATCTGGGGGCCCAGAGCTGGGAACCACTGGTGTATGAGATTTTATGTATCTGTATGTAAAGGATGGGACCATGATATATGAGGAGCTGGACCATCTCACATGGATGCTTGGTCCCCTGCAAAATGCACATCCAGTAGCGGTTACTCATTTTTCAAGCTGGGTACCACAGCACACAATCAGGCCGCAGGAAACAACAAATACTTCTCCAAGGCCATCTGGTGCCCTACAGCAATTTTGAATGACACTTCCCATTATTTCTCACCATTGGCCACGGCAGCTGTGGTTGATGGGAGCTTCAGTCCAAAACTTACACAGGGACCCAGGTTATGAAATGCTGCTCTATACATTGTATAATTTCAATTGTTGTGAGCCACTCTGAATCCCCTATGGGGAGAAAGGCAGCATACAAATAATAGAAATAAATAAAATAAATAAATACTGAATTACTCTTTCACTGAAAGACCAGAAGCAAGCAGGTTCTTTTAAGAACTTGTAGGTTTCAGCTGTACAACGTGCTTGGGTGAAAAGGTGCTCCCTTTGAGTTGAAACCTGCTTGCCTGGGAAGCCTTTCAGACCAGTGCCAATCAGCTGTTAGGCGGGGAGAGGGGAGGGGGCAGGAGCGGAGAAGAGCACAAAATGGCTGCCGGCTGCCTTTTAGCAGTTTGGAGCTCTTTTTTAACTTTTCTGGGGTCTACCAAGGCACTGTGAAGAGCTGGGCTCAGTCTATAGTACCTGGTAAGTGACTTTCTTTTAATTTTTTAAAAGTTTCTGACCTTTTTCCCCCATAAGAATGCATTAATTAATTTTCAATGCATTCTTATGAGAAATTTGGATTCGACTTGCAAACTTTTCAACTAGTTCTGGGCATCTAATAGAGAATG